CGAGCCAGAGCGGGACAAAAGTTGGCCCCGCGGACACTCACCCACGCCGTATTTCTCGTGCTCCGTAGGTATCCACATGGCGAAAGGGGCCCTGGGGGCGTCAGCCTTGGTAATCCCCGCGCCCCGTCTCCGGCTCACAACAATGCCCGGCACCCGGAGAGCGGCTGCAGCGCTGGAGCCCCGCGGCTCCGCGCGGGTGGCAAGCGCTGGGCAGGGTCTGCGCTGCAGGCTCCCGAACCCGGCGTTGACACAGCGCCGCCCAAGCTGCGCCGCCCGCCGCTCTCCCGGCGGCGGCTGCTCACAGTCCTCCGACGCGCTCCCGGGGACCCGGCGGCGCAGTCATTGTTCTGATTCACTGAACTAAGCGAACACGCCGGGCCACTCACGGGCGCACCCCCGCCCCTCAGAGCCTGGCCCAGCCCTCCCTTCCTCGAGCGCCCGAGGCACGCTGGGAAGTGTAGGCCTCGGCCGCCATCCCGGGAGGGGGCGTGGCGCGAGGGACTGGGGGCGAGGCTCCGGGGAGCCGCTCGTCGCGTCCTATTGGCCCAAAGCGCGACGGAGCCGCGTGGGCGTGGAGGAAACGCTGCGTCGATGGGCAGGGCGCCTAGAACCACGTTTCCATTGGTCCCCGCCCGGTCCTCCCCGCCCAGGGGCCTCCCTCTTACCCCTGGCTGGGAAATGGCTGCTCCCGAGACCCAGGGGGCTGCGGCCCAAGGAGGGGAGGACCGCACTGGCAGCCACGGCGGAGTTGGGGGTGTTGGTTTCGAGGGTGAGTTTGGTACCCCTGCGTGTGGGTGGATTTTATTTCTTCCCCACTGGCCGGGAGTGCAGCTGATCGCCAGTCCTCCCCGGGGGCGTTCCTTCCTGCTCCGAGGCCACCAGGGCGCGTGGGGACTCTGGCTGCCGGGGAAGACGCGGTGCGTCCGGGGGCGGCCCTGCGGGGCGGAAGGAAAGGAATGGATTGTCCTTCGCGTTGGCGGCCCCACCTTTATGCCTTGTATTGAATGGCATATTGTCAGGTCAGGTCCAGGTGATTGTAACCCAGCAATTCTCAGCTCCTTTTCCTCGCCAGCGCTTGTGCTGGGTTTGGCCTTGTTTCCAGTTGCAGACTGGTCTCTGCTGTCTGAGCTGCAAGTTTTCCCCCGCTGCTGACTGGAGAGGTCTCCGGAGGAAAAGTGAACGTCTCTCAGGCTGCCCCCTTGCGCCCACTGATCACTCTGAGCGCCCTCCTGGACCGAATGTGGGGCCTGGGAAGATGTAGGATCTGCGTAGGAAGAGGAATGGAAGTGGGCGCTTGTACTCTTGGCTTCAGAGAAAAGTTGAAAAGTGTTGAAAACCATCTCTGGGTCATTGCCCTGACTTTCAAGTTGTCTTCTGATCCATTTGTCGCTGTAGAGATCAAACAGCTGACTTCAAAGCTGCACAGGCATTGTCTTTAGAAATGCTAGCCCTGTTCTTTTACCTGTAGTACATCAATGCTCTCTTGTAGCCTTAGTTCCTCTTCTATATACCATTTGCCTTGCGAGGGGCTTCAAGAACTTTGCAAAATTAAAAAGATAAGGAATCTAACCGGGAACGTTTTGAAGGCCCCCCCCCCTTATATAATTAAGCATGACGTGTTATCTTTTTCTCATGGACAGTGTGTGTGACATGAATTTTGTTTTCAAGGGTTGGATGGTTGATAGGTTTGTCCTGATTTAGTTTTCTGGTTCAACTGTGACAGTCTTAAATCTTATGTTGGCACCACCGAGAATAAGGTTCAATTTCTTCCCATTTCCCATAAGCAGGGCTCGCTAGCACTGAAGTTATTCACTTCACTAACTCCATCAAAGATGTCAGTGTTTGGGAGGCACTTGAGTTGAATGCTGAGTTGAATGACACCCACAGAATACCCTAGAGTTGTAGCCACTGTGTCAATCCATCTCATTCAAGTCCTGTACCGCACTGAGCCTGATGGCCCTTTCCAGGGATTGCTGGTAGCATAGTGGTTGCATGCTGAGCTGCTAACAGTAAGGTCAGCAGTTCAAAACCACCAGCTGCACCACAGGCGAAAGATGAGGCTTCCTACTCTTGTAAAGAGTTACAGTCTCCGAAACCCATAAGGGCAGTTTCTACCATGTCGTAGGGGATCACTTTGAGTTGGAATTGACTTGATGGCTGTGAGTTTGGTTTTGGTTGGTCCCTCTTGTTTAGAAAGGTAGATAAAGTAGTGGCTCAGGTTATCAGAGCCTGTACCCTTCCTTGTAAAATCATAATTTCATGAAAACTGCCTTTTTAACAAGAGATTTCTATCTAGTTCTAAATAAGATGTCAGTCTGTATGTTTAATATCCTGGGGCAGAGGGGACTAGGAGTCTTGATGGAAATCCTCGTAGTTCTACAGCATCTGTTCTTGGAAGAGTCCCTGGGCCACATGCAGGCAGGTACACCACCTTCAGGGAAGCCACTGTCTGGCATACTTCTGACACTCCATCCACCTCCGGGAAGGCCCCTGAATTGATTAAGTCTCAGAGTAAGCCTTCTATTACAATACCGCTCCCATATATTTGCCCCTACATAAGTAAGAACAGTCAATAAACTCAACATCTGTCACACTTGGGAGTGTGTTGCTGGTGCTTCTTTGTGATCCGCTCGTGTTGGGGCCAGTAAATTGGCAGTAGGTTACCTTTAGAAGGCATTGCCCTCCTGAATCCCTGCGGTGATTTCTTCTGATAATGTCGGACAGGGCAAGATATGACAAAATAATAATTTATAAATTATCAAGGGCTCATGAGGGTGGGGGGAGCGGGGAGAGAGGGGGAAAATGAGGACCTAATGCCGGGGGCTTAAGTGGAGAGGAAATGTTTTCAGAATGATGAGGTCAATGAATGTACAAATGCGCTTTACACAATTGATGTATGTATGGATTGTGATAAGAGTTGTATGAGCCCCTAATAAAATGATTAGAAAAAAAAAAAGTTAGTTTTCACATTGTCCATATGCTGACTCATGTTCATAGTGACCCTACAGGACTGAGAAGAATGGCCTGTTTATGTTCTGAGACTTTAAATCTTTATAGCAGTAGACAGCCTCATCTTTCTCCTAAGGAGTGACTGAAGGGCTAGAATCGCTGATCTTGTGGTTAGTACGTTAGTGTGTAGCCCACCACTCCACTGGAGACTGATAAATGGGTTGGCGGCTGTAAGTTAGGTGTTCTGGAATAGGCTTTTTCCTTCTACATGCATGCCCAGTCGATGATGATCATGCTGTTTTAGATGTGTCATACTTTTCCTCTGCAGGCCTCATGTGTTTTTTAGGTGTCTGGAAGAAATGGGAGATAGTAGATGCTGTCAACTCCTCGTTCTTGTAGTCCCTAGCATAATTTATGGCTCAGGCCTAAGCGTGAAACCCAGGAAGCAATCTCAAACCCTCTCTTGCCCTCCAGTCCTAAGTTAGATCAGTTACTCAGCCTCATTTTTCTGCACCGGAAATACCTGTTGATTTGTTACTTCTCTTCATTCTCTAACATCACTGCCTAGCGACGTACCTGTGTCACCCCCACCTTCACCCTCAGCACTCAAAACTGCACGATTGAGTACCAAAACTGCCATATTTGGTTTTGTCTGTCTGACTTCTTCTTGGCACTATATTACCATGTTCAAGAAATCTTTGACCAGAACTGAATTCAGGCCTGGACAAGTATAAAACCTTCTGCCTGCTTCTTGATTTCCCCTCCTTAAATCCACATTTTAACATCTTCCTAAAGAGTCATGGTTTTTCACTTCACTGTCATGCTAATGCATATATAAAGTAAGGTCCCAATTCTCATGTAAGGTTCTCATCTACCTGTCCAGCCTCATCCTCAGCATCCTGCTTCCCTTCCCACATCTCCAGGATCACTCTTGTCATTTAAAAACAAACAAACAAACAACTCACTGCCTGGAATAGATTCCAACTCATAGTGACCCGATAGGACAGGGCTAAACTAGTTTCAAAGGGCTGACCTTGTGGTTAGCAGCCTAATGAGTAACCACTCATTAGGAGTACCACCAAGTCCCTTCCCTTGCCATGTTACCCTGACCTTATTGATTGGAAGCTCTCTGCCCCAGTCACGTGAACCACGGGAGGGCAAGACTTGCCTTCCTTTTGCTTGGCTACAGCTTGTGCTTGATAGAGTCGCTGTGAGTGGAACTTAGTTTGTGGGGAGTTGGCTTCACTGGTGCTCTATGAGAGCTGCAGGTAGTGAACACACACGAACAGCTTCTCGGCTGGCATCGGTTTGAAATGTATTGAAAGTACCTAGAGTGGCAGCTGTTCGAAGAAGAGGAGAGTAGATGCAAAAGCACAGAGTAGATGTTTTATGTTTGAGAGAAAATGATATTCTGTCCATGGTAATCATAGCATTTTTGTGTAGTTTTCTATTTTCTAGCCTTTCTTTTTTTAAATGATGTTTGGATGTTGTTTTGATAATGCTAAACATTTCTCACAGAATAGTTCAGATTTGACCTTCCTGACTTTTAATCTATTCCCTGCCCGGGTAGACCATGCACTCCATCCTCTACACCTTTCGGATTCCCAGGCCAGCCCTCACTTCTGTCTCATAATTGACGTGACTCAAAACTCAAACTCACTGCTGAGTTGATGCCGACTTATGACCAGCCTAGAGGACAGGGTAGAACTGCCCTGTGCATTTCCAAGAATGTAACTCTCTGGGGGTAGAAAGCCTCGTCTTTCTCCTGGGGAACAGCTGGTGGTTTCAAACTGCTAACCTTGCAGACCACAGCCCAACTCGTAACCTTTCCACCACCAGGGCCCCCCTAATTGGCCTGACAAGAGAAAGATTGTGACATCTAGTAGATATGTGACAGGGATAATACCTATGTTGCGATTGGTATGATTAGGTCATTGAGTTACATATTTGTGAAAGGCTCACATAATTCCTGTTATGAAATTGGACCTGAGTAAATATTAATTGCTTTCAAATATAAAGATATGCTGAATTGAGCCATAAAACTACCTGCTCTTTGGTTCTATATCCACTTAAAAAAACGTTCTCAGATGCTGGGCCATACGGAGTAACCCTGGGGATGCTGTGGGAAGTCCTGACAATAACTGCTTCTGCTGTCAGTGCATTCCTGGACCTGGGGGAGCGGCGCCGTCAGAATGTCTGTCGGTGCCACCTGCCAGGATGGCAAGCTTGTGCATGGTTCTCATCCCTGTGCCATGCCGCGCTCCTCAAAACCGGCTCCCTCCACCACAGGACACTCGGACTCAAGGAGAAGCAGGGGCGGCCTGGCCAAGTCCAGCCCGAGGTGTCACAGAATAAAAAGAATGATCGAAACCTAGGCTTGTGTGGTCCTTCGTGTAAGGTTCTGACGGGGCCACCTGCAAACGTCCTCCTATTTTCCTATTACAAACACAAGGGACACAGCCTCTAGGACAGTGCTTCTCAACCTTCCTGATGCCGCGACCCTTTCATACAGCTCCTGGTGTTGTGGTGACCCCCAACCATACAATTACTTCCGTTGCTACTTCATAACTAATTTTGCTACTGTTATGAATCATCATGCAGGATGTATTTACATTGTTACAAATTGAACATAATGAAAGCATCGTGATTCATCACAAAACAATATGTAATTATATATTGTGAAATATTTGTGTTTTCCAATGGTCTTAGGCAACTCCTGTAAAAGGGTCATTCGACCCCAAAGGGTCGTGACCCACAGGTTGAGAACTGCTGCTATAGGATATTACGCAGTGACAGTCTAGTAAAGATGGTACTTGGGTG